ACTCCAACCGAGCATTTAATACAGGAGTCGCTGAGTGCAATGCTCAAAGTAAGCAAAACCACAACCATAGTAATTGCTCACCGCTTATCCACGTTACTACACATGGATCGCATTTTAGTACTCGAGCAAGGTAAAATCATAGAAGATGGTACACACCAGGAGCTTCTTAACAGAAATGGAGTATATAAAGTTTTATGGAATGCACAAGTAAAGGGTTTTTTACCAGGTCATAATGAAGGTTAAGAGTAGATGAAAACTTGACAATTCTTAGATAATGGCTATTATAAAGCGAGGTTTAGGGAGTGTATATGAGTTCAAACACCATTAATTGTATATTATTTATTATAATTACGTATGCATTAACGTGCATAGTAGCTTGGAGCATGCCTCCACAATATGCAGCATTAGCAATATTCATGCCAGGCACGGTTGCAATTTCTTTAACAATTTACAACAAAGAAAAAGTAAAGGATCTTTTCAAGTTTAGCTCACTAAAAAACTGTTTATCTGGATTTATAATTCCAATAGTAGCTATACTAATTACTTATACTTTTTACTTATATTACTTTTCATTTTGGGATGAATACTTTGGTTCATTTACATTAAAAAAAATAAAAGATCTAGTTCCAGGTCAAGAGGTCAATATAACAACATTACTACCAACATTACTACCAATAACTTTTGTATACCTGATTTTTACCTCTCTCGGTGAGGAAGTTGGATGGCGTGCTTACCTACTTAAAAAGCTTAAGCCCACAATACCAAATTTTTATGCAAGAACAATTATTGTAGGCATTATCTGGGGAATATGGCATATACCTATATATACGGCTAATAGTTCAGACATGTGGAAAGATGGTTTTACACTTCCAATTATCTGCACTTATGTCATTTACACTTGTGTATTATCCATAATATTCGCCTGGTTATTTGAAAAAGATAATTCTATTTGGCCAGTAACTTTTTTTCACACAACATTTAATTTTCAGGCTAGCATTCATATGCAATTTACCACACTTTTTCCTGTATCAACTTCTGAGGCAGTAGTTAGTAATATACTATTAGCAGCTTCTTATCTTATAGTTTGGGGAAGCATTGTTTGGTTTGATAGGAGAAGAAAAATTCTTTAGAGGGACACGCATGAATGTTAGACAATTAAGTAGATTGATACCTTTACTTGTGCCGTTAACACTAACCTCTGCTGTTTTATATAGGAAAATATATACTAATCAACATCCTAAACCTACAGATATAAAGCCTACTAAGTTTAACAAATTTTTTAAAACTGAAAGTTTCGATCCTGATTACCTTGCACCATTCCCAAAATTAAGTGAATTTGACCGCGAAGTATTGAAAGTATGCGGTGACTGGGGTAGTAAACCGACAAGAGAAGACTTTAAAAAATTTTTAGACGATCCTAAAAATAAGAAGGATGTGCAAGATATCTATGAAGGATTAGACAAACAAGTAATTACACCTAATGCAGATTTAGAAACATTTAAAAAGGAATTTTTAGATGTGTGGTTCGGAAATCGTGGTTTTGTACATACTTTTTGTGGTGAGCCAGATGGTCATAAGCAATGGACTAGTCTTGGGGGTATGCACTTTATTGGAAGATATCTTGAAGCTCAAGAAAAAGGATGGGCTGGACTGTGGGATGGTTGTGATAAAAAGGAAATAAGACCTCCAGTTTGGACAATCGGAATACGTTATAAAAACACAAAAGGAGAGATAAAGGAAAAATGTCCTGGAGGCTTCGATTACTCGTCTGCAAAAGAGATTCTTATTTACGCAACAAAAGCATGTAAGGCTTTTCAAAAACATGGGGCAAGAAAAGAAGGAACATGCCTTTATCCAACTTCAAAAGAATATCAATCTATGTTGCATGTAGATAACTTTGCTATTTTATCATTCTTTTCTACTCTTTCATTAAAAGCTGAGNATTAAAAGCTGAGAGGTGTGGTGCGTATTTAGAACAAGTGGATATAAAAGGTGTAGAGAATAATGTAAATTTTAAAAGTTATGCAACATAACAGTAAAAGAAAATATCTGTATTCTTCTTGGTGGTGGTTGGTTCACATTAAAAAAAGAAAAGGAGCATTCAATGGACATTAAAAATTTACTGCAAGAATTCATAGAAGACAACGGCTCTGTCGGTGCTGCTGTTGCAATTATCGAGGATG